ACCGACTTATTTTATCCACGATGTTAGAAGCTCCTACCTCATAAAACAAAATAAAAAACTCACCACATAAATATGTAATTTTAGAACATTTCATTTATAACCAGAAATCGTTAATAAATAAAATTAATAAAACCGTCTTTCACTCCATTAAACGAATTTATTAACTTAGGGACCGGTTTGGGCCTATTTTTGGTGCACGTTTCCAACCTGGAGCTACAACCGATTATGAATTATAGTGAAACCTACATCTGAAAACACACCTAATTTAAAAATAAACAAAATTTGTAGCGCAGAAAATGAAAAAATGGCAACTTTTAGCAAACAGACGTCCCTGCGTGACGACTTTACTCCATTTCGGTAAAAAATTGTGTTATACCATAAAATTGCAAATAATCCACCGTGAAACTAAGTCTAGTGTAACTTGCCCCATCACAAATAAAAGATTATAAAATACTAAAATTAAAAGCTAAAATTAAACTATATCTTAACATTTTTATTAATAATTTTCGTTGGTTAATCAGCTTCATCTTAATGCATGCACCAAGCCATCTGTCCATGTTCATAATTGTTATTAACAACGCACTTTAGCTGTCATTTGCTTGCGCAATGCGTTTATTTCCCCAGTAAATTTCATTACGCCAGAATACTTAATTGTTTGGTTTGTGAATAACCAACGATCATCTGCTGATAATTGGCACTAATCTGAATTATTAACAGTGCTCGTGCAATTATTTCGACGCTAAATGCAGTGAACGTTTTAGCTTAGCTCAGTTATCTTACTGTATTTTGACAATGAAAGGATCAAATTAAAAGCAATTAATTTCTAACCGTAAGTTTATTTAAGGAAACTATTAATAATGCCGTCGCAAAGTCACGGTCGTTTTCAGTTATTACATAATACATTTGTTTAACGTTAATTAAAGCATCCAAAGTTCTTGAGCCGCCCCGAACCTTGAAAATTTAATATGCTGCATAAAAGTCTAATTTCCGGTAAAGTTCCCAAGTTTTACTTTTAGTGGTTTTGATTTCATTAAAAGATCATTGATCCTGTTATTATTCTGCTAATAGAAACACCAGAACGTGCATTATTAGTGATCTTAATTACACCAATATAATAAGTGTAGTGACTCCAGGTTCAACGGCATCGTCTCTAAATAATGCTAATTTGTAATAAAGGAAAGCATTTTGCGGCTACTCCTTTTCATTTCTTGCTGAATTTTAATTCGGCGGCGGGTCACCATTGAAATAAAACCACAATTTTTAATTATCAACTTTTATTTTATTTTAATTTCAATTTTAAATTTTTGGTCACCGAGAGAAGCTGTGTGAGCAATTTAACTTGTGCTGCCATCGCGCAAGCCACCTTGGAACCAACAGCGTTTCTGCAACTAATTTAAAATCGAATTTTGTTACCAATAATAAATTTTATTGTATAAAGAAGCAAAAGACTAAGTAATATGTTATATTTAAAAAAAAAATGAGTAGTGATCTTAATTCAGAGTAAATACTGCATAATACCCTTTTAGTGTAGTGACTCCAAGTTCAACGGCACCGCCTCTAAATAATGCTAATTCGTAAAAAGGAAAGCATTTTGCAAATATTTGTCTTCCATTTCTTGGCGTGGTCTGAGGCTGCCACTTAACCGATGAATCGAATTATCAGGATGAAATCCTGAGTTTTTCAATCGCATTCCTTGCATAAATTAATATAAAGAGCAAATTGAAGCTACGATTGTATCTGCGTATCAGAGAGCCATTTGAAACTAACATTTAGCAGTGAACTTGGCAAAGGTAGGCCATTCGAGTTCAATGCCTTACTTTCATAACTTCACAATCTCTCTTACATCACTTGTACTACTATACAAAGTGTGAGTGGGGAAATTTACAACTGGCGACGTTCTTTCATCACTTGATTCCACGTTTAATTGTGTTTCCTTTTTGTGTGGGTACTTTTCTGAAAGTAGCCAAACGGCTTGATTTATCTGCTCTGGTCGCTGGTGAGTGGTTTTTCAGGGCGCCGGGCTTCCGAGAGCTCCTGGAGTTGGAGGATTTGAAGGAGACGTCAGCGAGGATGACAGTGGTTATAAAATGACAATGTTTGTTTTATGGGAGGTGATCGTGGTTTATTAAGAGGCGGTTTATAAACGGCTGGCGAAACAGATGCGATTAAAACGGAGAAAGAAGGAGCTTTAAAGGAGTGATTTATGGGACGTGAATTGAAAACAATCAGCTGTTATTACAAGTTTTGACAATATAAGATTTGCTAATAGATCATGATGGGGTTAAATAAGAAGTGAAATTTATTTACGACTCGTTCAAATAAATGTCATAATAATAAACATTACATTTTGAATTTGTTATGGAGAATTCTGTTAACCCAAGTTCTCTGGAACTTACGATTAAACGAGTTCATAAATACAAAGTTTTCATTTAAAATTTTATATTAAACTTCAGATTCGATTTCAAATCCTTGGTTATTTTGTTCGGGCTCTTTTAATTAAAAACTGGATCAACGAGGATTTTTCCATTCATACTTACACTATAATTCGTCTTTATGAGAATTTTATATTTCAGGATTCAGGACAACACGATTCGGAACTCCAACATTCTCGTTGTAATAGGATTCAGGACTACAAAATTCGGAATAACAGACCGCCCGGAATCCAGTATTATCCTTTTTGCATGTTTACTTCGCGAGATTATTTCAATAAATGTTCGATCATGTTTTCTTACCATTTCATAACTTGAAAAACCTGAAAATGGATTTCCCGTTTCCATGCATTCTAATGTCAATGTGTAGACGGCAAAATTATAAAACTTGTCTATTCATCCCGTTCAAAAAACTTATGACGTCAGAAATTTGACTTTTTTTTAGAAAAATTGCACTCTTAATGTAACATTGTTACATGTTGTTAATATGTTTGTTCTCACAAAGAAAAAATGATAACGTCAATATTGCTTGAAATTTGTTAAGTGTTACGAGTGAATTTATGAACTATCCTATAATTTTGAAATCTTGCTCTGAGACTAAAAACACGCTATATTTTTCGAATCGGCACATCCCAGACTTTTTTGTGACTTTTTTAGTTAACTTTTCCAAAAGTTCAATTTTTCAAAATTTTTGGAAAATTATCTGAAGAAATTTTTTTTGTTGATTTCGACTTGTAGAAGTTATTTTCGGCTCCACATCTGCGAAAATAGCATTTTCATTTTGTCCATTATCAAATATGGAAATTTTTACGATATTTTAAAATTTTGATTTTGAAATAAAAAAATTCGAAAATCTTGGTCTGTATCCTCCACCAGGCTATGTTTATCAAATTGACGCTTCGAGATTTATATTCCAAATTTTTTTGTATATATTTAAGGATTTTGACAAGAGCTCAGATTTTCAATACACCTACTTACGGCATTTGTTATTTTTTCGCAAGCAGTTTCAAAAATTACCGAAGGACATAAATATTTTTGTTACTTTTGAAGAAATGATTTTCAGCAACATTTCTTCGAAAATTCCAACTACTTTTGCAGAATCATCAAAATGAAGCATTTTAAGACTTTTATTTTGAAATTGAAAACTTCGAAAATCTTGATCTGGGACCATCAACAACCTCTGCTTTCCAAATCAACTTGTGGATATCGATATAATAGAACTTTTGGTGTATATTTAATCACTTTGGATAAGGCTCAAATTTTCAATACATAGGGATTTTTTTGTCTTTTTCAAGTAGTTTCAAAAATTAAAAAAAACACTTTTTTGTTGATTTCGATTTGCAGAATTCATTGTAGCCAAGATTTCTTCGAAAAATTTAACTACCTTTCCAGAATCTCCAAGATGAAATACGGCCAGTGATAGACAATTTTAAAAGTTTGATTTTGAGATCAAGAATTTCAAAAATTTTGATCTGTGGCCATTAACAAGCTGCTTTCTGAATCAGCTCGTCGATCTTTATATCCCTGAATTTTTTGTGTTTTTTTTTTTGGAACTTTGCCAATTTTTCAATTTTTTTAACGTGTTCAAGAATTTTCGAAAAATACAGTAGAACCCCGATTATCCGGGTGCGCATTAACCGGGCGGTGGAATATCCGTGCCAGTAGATAACCTCGATTATCCGTGGTTCGATTATCCGTGCCGAACACGAAATGCAAGCATGCCGACAACTCAGCTAAAATGTGATTTGTAAAACAAAATATTATGTTACCCACCTATAACAGCGTTGTGGTATAAGCATGAAACTGAAATCATAATAGCTACCACAGCGTTTTTTATTAATGAGCTGATTAATTTAACATTTATTTAGTCTGTTTTAAACTTTGTGGTGTAAAAGCGTAATATATTCACTCAATATCGAACACTTATATAGTAATTATGGATCAGCCAGGTGCACGTGGTTCTGCTAAACGAAAGCGTACAGTTCTAACCATTGAACAAAAAATTGAGATTTTCAAACAAAATGGGCCAGGTAGATATTCGTCGAATATATAATTAAATCTAAATTTTGAAACAAACGTTTTATCTAGGAGAAAATGTGGCAGCTCTAGCTAGACGATTTGGAATAGGGCGTCAAACAGTTCGCGATATTGTCAAGAACAAAACAAATCTACAGGCTTTTTTATTACAAGCCGATAGTACGCAAGTGGTTTCCCAACGAAAAACAATGAAGGCTTCCACGTTTGAAGAACTGGAACAAGCAATGATTAAATGGTTTCTACAAAAACGAGCCGAAGGTACGCCAATTTCGGGACCAATGTGCTTACGTCAAGCTCAACTATTTCAAGAAAAACTGAATCCTGGAGAAAATTTTAAGGCTTCAAATGGATGGCTATATCGATTTAAAAAACGACATGGAATAAGAGAGCTACCCATAGAAGGCGAGAAACTGAGTGCAGACGAGGTAGCTCTAACTGAGTTTTTGTTATGAGCTTGAAAATATTATCCTGGAACGTGATTTAAAATTGGATCAAGTATATAATGCCGACGAAACAGGTTTATTTTGGAAAACAATGCCCACTAAAACTTTAGCTCACGAATCTGAAAAATGTGCTTCAGGTTTTAAAACCAATAAAGACAGAGTTACCATACTTTGTGGTGCCAATGCAACTGGACGACATAAACTACGACTGACTGTGATTGGAAAGTCAAAAAATCCACGTGCCTTTAAGAACATTAACAGAAATAATCTACCCGTGGATTACTATAATCAAAAATCGTGTTGGATGACACGAGATATTTTCAGAGAATGGTTTTTTAAAAAATTTATCCCTCAAGTCAAAAAATTTCTTGAAGTTAATAAATTGCCACCAAAAGCTCTGTTACTTCTTGACAACGCGACTGTACATATGGACGAGACAGTATTGAAATCTGAAGATGGAAATATTACTGCAGCGTTCTTTCCTCCAAATGTTACATCTATTGGCCAACCAATGGATCAAGGAGTGATCGAGAACATGAAAAGATACTACAGAAAAAAGATAATGATGGACTTATTACAAGAAGACGCTGACCCAATGACGTTTTGGAAAAATCTAAATATTAAGGACGCGATTTATGGCATTGCTGAGGCTTGGAGTTGTGTAAAAGATGTCACAATAAAGCGAGCATTTTTAAAAATTTTAACATTAGAAGATGTACCAGATATGAACGAAACGATAGTAGAGAGTGAAGTTACTACAAATGCCATAGCAAACATTGCCTCCGAAATTTCAACATTGGATGGTGTCGATGCTGAAGTAATTGACAATTGGATTCAGTGCGATTTTCAAGAACACGGGACTGAAACTTTTACTGAAGAAGAAATAATTGCACAATCTGAAAAAAACAAAGAAGAGTCAGGTGAAGATCACGAAAAAAACAAAGAAGAGTCAGATGAAAATGATGATATCTTTGAAGAACACACTTCCAATAAGATTACAAATCGACAAGCACTGGAAGCTTGTAATACTTTGATTGATTATTTTGAAAAGCAAGATATTGATGACTTTACCATTTTAAACTTACAAAAAATGAAGTCGTTCATTAGACAGAAACAATTAAAAACTAAAAAACAAACCAAATTGAGAGCTTTTTTTGTAAAACATGTTTAATTTAACCGTACATATGTATTTCCCTAAATAAATAAATAATTTTGATTAACCGTTCATTTCAATTATCCGGCAAACATCTGGTCCCGGTCGGCCCGGATAATCGAGGTTGCACTGTACCTAAAAAGATGTTTTCGTTCATTTCGACTTGCAGAAGTTACTTCAGCACCATTTTTGGAAATTTGCAACCACTTTCCCAGAATTACCAAATTGAAATACATACGGCAATTTTTAAGATATCTATTTTAAAAATTTGATTTTGAAACCAAAAAGTTCGAAAATCTTGGTCTGGCCCCATTAATAGGCTAAGGCTACGTTTTCTGAATTAGTTAGTCGAGATTTTCAGTACTCCCCCACTTACTAAATTTTTTAACGAAACATTTTTTTTATTAATTTCGATTTTCAGAATTCACGAACATTACTGCTACTTTTCCAGAATCATAAAAATTGAATTATGGTCATTTTTGGGATATTTTTAAAATTCCATTTTGAAATCGACAATTTCGAAAATTTTGACCTGGGAACATCAGCAGGCTCTTTTCTATATCAGCTCGTTAATATTCATATCCCAGAATTTTTTGTAGGTCTTGAGAACTTTGTCAAAATTTCCATTTTTCAATATTTTTGACGTTCTCTGAGAATTTTTCAAAAATACCTAAAAAGATGTTTTCGTTGATTTCGATTTGCAGAAGTTATTTTAGGACCATTTCTGCGAAATTTACAACCATTTTCCCAGAATCGCTAAATTGAAATATGGCAATTTTTGGAATATTTACTTTAAAAATTTGATTTTGAAACCAAAAATTTTCATAAATCTTGGGCTGGCTTTATCAACAGAGGCTAAGACTATTTTTTCTGAATTAGTTAGTCAAGATTGATGTCCCGGAATTTTTTGTGTATTTTAAACAACTTTGTCAAAAGGTCAGATTTTCCAATACCTCCCACCTATGAATTTTTTTACCTTTTTCTGAGCAGTTTTGAAAATTACCGAAAGAACTTTTTTTTTTTATTTTGACTTTCAGAATTCCCGAAAATTCCAACTACTTTTTCAGAATCATCAAAATTGAATATGGCAATTTTTTATTTTGAAAATTTGATTTTGAAACCGAAAATTTCGAAAACCTTGCTACGCATCCATCAGCAGGCTATGTTTTTCTAATTATCTCGTCGAGAACTATATCCCAGAATTTTTTGTGTATTTTGAGGTAACTTTGAAGTAAGCTCAGATTTTTCAATACGGAATTTTTTACTTTTTCCTAGAAATTTCGAAAATTACCAGAACACATTTTTTTGTTAATTTTGACCCACAGAATTAATTTTCGGCAACATTTCTTCGAAAATTCCAATTACTTGCACACCGAATCGTCAAAATGAAATAGGGCCATATTTACGATATTTTAAAAACTTGATTTTGAAACCGAAAATTTTGAAAATCTTGCTCTGGATCCATCAGCTCTCCAAATCAGCTCCTCGTTATGTATATCATAGTTTTATTCTGAGTTTTTAATCAACTTTGTCAAAAGTTCGCTTCTTCAAAATTTTTTTGACGTTTTTCTGAACACTTTCGAAAATGACCCAAAATAGTGTTTTTTGTTGATTTCGAATTACAGAACTTATTTTAGGTTCAATTTCTGAGAAAATTGCAACCACTTTTCCAAAATCGCCAAGATCGAATAACGCAATTTTTGAGATATTTTTCAGATTTTTCAATACGGAATTTTTTACTTTTTCCTAGAAATTTCGAAAATTACCAGAACACATTTTTTTGTTAATTTTGACTCGCAGAATTAATTTTCGGCAACATTTCTTCGAAAATTCCAATTACTTTTATACAGAATCGTCAGAATGAAATATGACCATTTTTGCGATATTTTAAAAACTTCACAGGTTTTTAGGCAACTTTGTCAAAGGTTCGGTTCTTCCAAATTTTCGAAAATAACCCAAAATAGTGTTTTTTGTTGATTTCACTTCCAGAACTTATTTTCGCCAAAACGGAACTGAGAATTTTTTTAAATCGCCAAGAAGAATTAACGCAATTTTTGGAATATTTTAGTAATTTGACTTTGAAACCAAAAATTTCGAAAATCTTGATATGCATCCACTATGGTTTTCTAATTAACTCGTCGAGAACTATATCTCAGCATTTTTTGTGTATTTTTAGGTAACTTTGCAAAAAAATCAGATCTTCAATATCCCCCAATTACGGATTTTTGTATTTTTTTCCAAGAAATTTGGAAAACTACAGAAACACATTTTTTTGTTAATTTCGAATTGCAGAATTTATTTTCGGTAACATTTCTTCAAAAATTCCGAGTTCTTTTACAAAATCGTCAAAGTGAAATATGACCATTTTCGCGATATTTTGAAAATTTTATTTTGAAATCGAAAATTTCGAAAATCTTGATCTGGGATCAATGCTTTTGGAATCAGATCCTCGATATCGATATTAATACAGATTTTTTGTGTGTTTTTAGGCAACTTTGTCAAAATTTTTGTTGATATTTTTCTGAACACTGTCGAAAATAACCCAAAATATGTAGGGTTTTTTGTTGATTACGACTTGCAGAACTTATGTTCGGTTACATTTCTACGAAAATTGCAACAATTCCAGAATCGCCAAGATGAAATAACGCAATTTTTGGAATATTTTGCTAATTTGAAACCGAAAATTTCGAAAATCAGCTTTGCATCTATCAGCAGGCTATGTTTTTACAATTAGATCGTCGAGAATTATATTCCAGAATGTTTGTATATTTTTAGACCATTTTACAAAAAGCTCAGATTTTCAATCACTGAATTTTCTACTTTTTTCCGAGAAATTTCGAAATTACCCAAAGAAATTTTTTCTGTTAATTTCGACTTGCAGAACTCATTTTCGGCAACATTTCTGCAAAAATTCCAACTACTTTAACAAAACCACCAAAATGAAATATGGCCATTTTTGGAGCATTTTAAAAATGTGATTTTGGCACCGAAAATTTAGAAAATCTGGAACCATCAACGACTCTCGAATCAGTTCGTCGATATTTGTCCCAAGTTATTTTGTGGATTCGTAGGCAACTTTTTCGAATGAAAATTTTTTTAATTCACCTCTTCCATGAAAATTTTGACGCTTTTTGACTTCCTTCGAAATTAACCTAAAGAGACTGAAGATATTTTTCTTTATAGATTTCGACCTCCATACGTAGCTTTTGGTGTCATTTCCTTGATAACTTCTACCATTTTTCCAGAATCGCGACTTGAAATATGGCAGTTTTTATAATTAAAATAAAATTGAATTTCAAATGAAATAATTCTAAAATCTTACGCCGAATCAGCAAGTCGAAATCTAAATGCCAAATTTTTTATGTAGATTTGCCAAAAACTCAAATTTTTAATACATATAGTTTCCCCACTTCTAATTTGGTTTTATGATAGCATCTCATACTATATACTGGTTAAATCCTTATTTATGACTGTCCCATCACCGGCAGTAGTAATCTATTTTCAACGAAGTTAACTTTTACACATCATAAAACCGAATTAGAACTGGGGAAACTATACTTTTGAAACTTTTAACTTTTTTCAGGGCAGTTTCTAAATTTACTTGAAGACACTTTTTTGCTGATTTCGACTTGCAGAAATCATTTTCATTCCATTGAAAAATTCAAACAGATTTCCAGGCAACAATTTTACTTCTCGACAAATTGTAGATTTAATTAAATCGTTAATCATGGAAACATAAAATTTATATACTTATTAAGTGAATATATATTAAATTAAATATAGAATACAATTTTTGAATTATTTTTCGAAGTTATCAACATCTATTTTCCATATAGATATGGCAAAATTTAATCAAATAAACGTGTAGTACGTGTTACACAATATTTCTCAAATTTATTTATTAGTTATATTTTTGGTAATATTTGTAATGTATATTGTAATTAAAAACGCTACCTCTGGCGATTCAGTTTACCAGTATCGATTTCCAAATTCCCATTTTTGGTGTGGTATTTTAAACCATGCACCAAAAACTTAGCATAAAAAAAATGCATGGTGAACCGCCGATGCAATTGACAACTAAATTACTTCATTACCGATTCGAGCCCAGCGCAGATGCTTTTGTTCCCATCAGATTAAGACAAAACCGATAAATTCCACCTTGGAAAAAGTGCACCAGCACCACAAATAATAGATTCTTGAAATTACACCGCAAAAAATTAATTACAACAAGCACTCGAAGAGAGGAATCAGTAAATTGCATTTTTTCCAGTAATGCTTGGCTCCGGTCCGGAGTTCGTTGTCCGGAGTCAAAATAACGGCGATTCCGACATGTTCACTTTCGTGGGCCATTGCCACCAAAGTTTCGGCTGCGGTAAGCGAAATCACTGATTCACTGCAGTGACAATTAATTGCACACGGAATGGAACGAAATTCTTGAGAACTGACTGTTCGTGAAATAATCTGTACCGTAAGGAAGAGTAGATGTTATTTTCTTCGGAGATTGGAAACTGCAATAAGGATGTGCTTATATAACAGTTTAACAATCAGATAGGAGCTCAAACAATCAATTTAACAATTTAGCAATAAATTTAGCACGACCTGGAGTCAAGTTCAGGTCTTAAGTTCAACGTCTTGGTGATTGCGCAGATTTTAACAATGAGACATGAGGATACTGCACATAATAGAGCGTACAACAAAAAAGCGCCACCAATGCTTGGGGATTATTTCTGCATGATAACATCATATCTAGTATTTGCACATCTTTGGGTTATGAATTTTTATTGCGGAGTTTACGTCGGGCGAGCTTTTATTTCAACTATAGTTGGCCAAGGATTACACTCTAAAATCAGGACAACCCAAAAATTTGCATTAATAGTCAGTCACCCGGTATTGTAGCAGGAAGACTTTTTAGTAGTTTTAACATTTATTTGATTTAAACGAACTTTTAAGCTGTCAGTAGTTTTTGCTGAAAATAAAAATCATTAGTAGAGAGCGGATTTCTAGGTTTAATGCTTTTT